TTCATCATTTTAAATTTTCTAAGATCATTTATATCCTTTCCAAATATCGTAACTGCTTTTGCATAAAATAGGATATTGGGATATTGGTGATGCTATCTGTGCTTGCGCATTTTGTAATGCCCTGTTTTGGTTTGAAGAGCGAGTCATTTCCACATCTTCAAAGATAAATCCAAAGTATTCATTATGTTGCTATCAGGGAAATATCGTCTTGCCCCTTATGAAAGAATCGCCGTTACTCTTATCTCAGTTGCTTCGAGGAACAGATGAACGCAGCAAGCATTTCATTGACAATATAAGATCGTACAATAGCATGTTTTCGTTCACCTCAATGGGCGGTAAAGTGACATCAAATGTCACTAAAGGAAAGGCTCCGCCGATGTTTAAGTTGCATGGCCAGAATTATCACCTTATCGGAAGTCTGCTACCTCAGGACGGAGCAAAACCCAAATTCGCACAATTATATATTTACGATACAGATAATGAACTTAAAAATAGACTTTCATCTGTTGGGTAAGAACACTCTACATTTATTAAATTCAACCGTTTATACGGTGTTGTTACGAATTTCATTCATCTTATTTTTCGTGCAGTGACGACGTTGGGAAAAGGAAGTTACATGAAGGTATAGTTATCGGTTTGACTGAGATGCTAAACCGGAATAACGTTTTGGTCAAATCTTTTCGCCTTGCTAAAGACAAAATGGACACAACCAATGCCCCAAAGGTGCGCCTAAAGCTTATTGGAAAGCGTTATGGTGATGCGAGAACATATAATTTACCATCTGTTTCTGAGGTTGCGGCCTTGATCGTAGGTGATTTTGACGAATCATTAGGTGAGAGAGACATATTGGTTGAGACTAAATCAGGTAAATTGCAAAGGATTAATGAATTGAATCCTGCTTATTTTGGTTTGCAATATCCATTGTTGTTCCCTTACGGCGAGGACGGTTATCGGGAGGACACAAAGTTGTCCAGGTGTAATGTTGTTTCTACAAACGGTAGAAAAAGGGTGAGTGTGAGAGAGTTTCTGGCGTATCGTGTGCAGGAACGTTGTGATAATCATTCATATATGTTGAAGGCAAAAAGACTATTCCAGCAGTTCATCGTTGACGGTTACACTTTAGTTGAGTCTGCTAGGTTGAGATATGTTAGAGCAAATCAGCAACAACTTCGTTGTGAAATGTATAAAGGTTTGAATGATGCCTTTTTACGTGGAGAGAATGACTCACGTACACAGGGTAAAAGAATTGTGTTGCCACCGACGTTTACCGGGGGAGCAAGGTATATGATTCAAAATTATCAGGATGCAATGGCCATATGTAGGTGGGCAGGTTATCCGGATTTATTCATCACCTTTACATGCAATCCAAGATGGCCGGAAATAGATCGTTTTCTCAATCCAAAGAATTTGAAATCTGAAGATCGCCCGGATGTAATCAGTCGCGTGTTCAAGATAAAGCTTAACGGATTAATTAAAGATCTTCGTATGAATAAAGCATTTGGAAATGTTAGAGGAGGTAGTCACCATTTTGTATTTCTCCTAACATAAATTTTATAAATTTTTAGCTGACTAAATTTGTTTCTTATGCAGTTGTATACACGATTGAATTTCAAAAACGTGGGTTGCCTCATGCCCATATTTTGTTGTGGTTGTGTAGCGCGGATAAATTACCCTCACCCGATGATATAGATAAGGTAATATCTGCTGAAATTCCAGATGCTAACAGTGACCCAGCGTATTATGCAGCGGTGACAGACTTTATGATGCATGGGCCGTGTGGTCGTGATTTCAAATCCGCTCCTTGCATGGTTGACGGTAAGTGTGCCAAACATTTTCCTAAAAAATGGTGTCCTGAAACAACTATCGACGATGACGGTTATCCTATGTATAGGCGTAGAAATACTGGCCGTAAGGTTTGTAAGAATAAAACAGAATTGGATAATAGGTTTGTTGTTCCGCATAGCCGATATTTATTGATGAAGTATGGAGCGCACATGAATGTGGAATGGTGTAATCAATCCAGGTCCATCAAATATTTGTTTAAGTACATCAACAAAGGACGTGATCGAGTTACTGCGGGGTTCTTTCAAGCAAATCAAGTAGACACACACCAAAAACCACTTGATGAGATACAAATGTACTATGATTGTAGATACATTTCTGCTTGCGAGGCTGCTTGGCGTATTTTTGGATTTGAGATTCAATATAAAAACCCAACAGTTGAACGATTGAGCTTTCATTTGCCTGAGGAGCATAGTGTTGTCTTTCATGATGATCAACCATTAGATGTAGTTGTTAGGGCCTCTTCAGTGAAGCAGAGTATGTTTACCGCATGGATGGAGGCTAACAAGAAGTATCCAGAGGCCCGATTGTTGACATATGCAGAGTTCCCTCAAAAATTTGTTTGGAAAAAGAAAACAAGAGAATGGACTCCCAGGAAACAGGCTTTTGCAATTGGTAGGATCTACTACGTACATCCCGGGAGCGGGGAATCCTATTACATTAGATGCCTTTTAAATCACATCCGTGGTGCAACATCTCACCAGGATTTGAGAACGGTCAACAATACTATTCTTGATTCTTTTCGAGATGCCTGCTACGCGTTGGGATTGCTTGACGATGATAAAGAATTCACTGATGCATTCGAGGAGGCAAGTCATTTCTCATCTGCCTCTTCTTTGAGAATTTTATTTGTAATTTTGTTATGGACAGAGTCAATGGCTCGACCAGAGTGCGTTTGGCAAAAATGTTGGATCTTCATGGCTGATGATGTACAATACACGCGAAGGCGAATATTGCAGCATCCAGGTTGTTGTTTCTACACATTTTGATTTGAAAGCCGTTTTATATTAGATTTATGATTGTGTGACTTCTTAATTTTTTGGGGTTCGCGTGTTGTTGTTCTTCTCAGAATTGACTTTGCCAGACGAACAATTGGAAAAATTCGCTTTGGAGGAAGTAGAGAGATTGTTACAAAGCCGTGGTAAGAGTTTGCGTGATTACCCGCCAATGCCTACTGTTGTGTTGGATTCACTACTTTCCTCTAATGATAGACTCATCTATGAGGAATTGCGTTACGATCGACTTGCAATGAGTGAAGAACATTCTACTTTGTTTAAATCTCTTACGGATGAGCAACTGAGAGTATATGAGACTATAATGCAGTCTGTTGAGAAAGAAGTTGGCGGCATTTTTTTTGTGTATGGTTACGGAGGTTCAGGCAAAACTTTTGTATGGAAGACGCTCTCTACTGCCATTAGGAGTAGAGGTGAAATTGTTCTTAATGTCGCCTCAAGTGGTATCGCATCTCTTCTTTTGCCGGGTGGACGTACAGCTCACTCCAGATTTGCAATACCTATAAGTTTGAATGAGGACTCTACCTGTAATATTAAGCAGGGCAGTCCACTGGCAAAACTTATTGTACGTTGTAAGCTTATAATATGGGATGAAGCACCAATGTTACATAAGTTCTGTTTTGAAGCGTTAGATCGCAGTATGAGGGACATAATGCAATTTCACAAACTCAATAGTGGCACTCTTCCTTACGGTGGGAAAACAATTGTATTTGGTGGGGATTTTCGTCAGGTGCTACCGGTGATACCTCATGGTAGCAGACAAGATGTTGTCAATGCCACGATTAATGCATCGTACCTATGGTCTGAGTGCACAGTGCTTCGTTTGACAAAAAACATGCGATTGCAAAACATGACTAATCCGGATGATTCTTACGATTTGAAGATATTTTCAGAATGGATCGCAGGCATTGGTGACGGTGTTGCAGGAGAAAGTAATGATGGTCATGTTAGTATCACTATCCCGGAAGATCTATTAATACGCTCAACTGGAGATCCTATAGCAGCAATTGTTCAAACCATCTTCCCGGAGTATGTTGAATCTGCAGAAAATATAAGTTGTTTGCGTGATCGTGCCATTTTGGCACCTACGCTATCTGTTGTTGAGGCTATTAATGATTATATGACAAGTCTGAATGTTGATCAAGTATCAAGAACATATCTTAGTTCTGACAGTGTTTCTAAAGTAGATTCTACGACTGACCTAATGGCTGAATTGCACACACCGGAGTTCTTGAATAGTATAAAACTGTCTGGTGTGCCGAATCATGAACTAACGCTAAAGGTTGGAACTCCTGTAATGCTATTGCGCAACATAGATCATTCAATGGGGCTGTGTAACGGAACCCGTCTAATTTTAACGAGGCTCGGCGATCATGTTTTGGAGGGAAGAATATTAACTGGAGTCAGTGCTGGACAGATAGTTTTAATTCCAAGGTTGTCATTGACCCCCTCTGATTCTACTTTGCCGTTCAAGTTTCAGAGAAGACAGTATCCCATAATGACATCATATGCCATGACAATAAATAAGAGCCAAGGTCAATCTTTGTCCCGCGTAGGATTGCTGTTGAAGAAACCAGTTTTTACCCACGGACAGCTGTATGTTGCAGTTTCTAGGGTGACCAATCGTCGTGGTTTGAAAATTTTAATATGTGATGCAGATGGAAAGAGTGCTTCTGAAACACAAAATGTTGTGTACAAAGAAGTGTTCAACAATGTTTGATAGAGTGGCATCGAATAAAGTTATACAATTACGCAATGTAATAGCATCAATAATTGTTATGATGTTTCCATGCTTTTATTTGCTGTTTAGTGCTCTCTTCATAATCGTAATATAACATGTATGCTCATCGTTTATTGCTTTTTCCAGTTACCTAAGCCTACATGTAATGTTAATTGTCCCATATTACTGAGACAAATGTGATGTCCCCAATTTATATATGTTTAGTTGTTTGCCTCTAAGTGTAGTGGAAATTAAAGTAACTTTTTTCAACCGTGCATCGCACGGGTGAGTTACTAGTTAATAATTAAAACAAAGAAAAGTTAAATTCGGGCGAACGGATGCCCTCATATACCAACCACTATTGGGGGCAAAACTGACAATTTAACAGAAGAACACAAAAACTAGGAAGAGGAAAGCAAAAATAATTGCCGGAGTCTGCAATAGAAGAAAAAAACAACAAGGTTACAAAACTGAAAAATCCCGTCCGGAGAAGATCAACGGCGGATATCTGGAAATCACTGTCTCCTCCCTGTTCCGGAAACTCAATCTTCAGTTTAATCAGCGATTCGGATCATCTTGGCCGGCTGTATTTTGGATCATTCTGTTTCACCATAGCGTGTGTTTCAGTACTTTGATCGATTTCTGTATTTTAGTCATCTGTCTAGGTTTCTAGAAAAAAAATCTGATCTTTTGTAGTTTTAGTAATTAGTAATACATTGTTTGTTTCGGCCTGAGAAGAATCTTAGTCCAGACACAACAAAGTAACATCTGCTCACTGGGGATGGATCTAATATTGAAGAGCACAAGTTATTTGTAGAGTGAATTGGGTGTGAATGAAGATGGGTTTAGAATCTTCCGGTGAATTCTTCTTGAATTTTCCCGAAGATTAACAGCCCTATGCTGGGGTATCAAATGGTGGGCTGCCTTGGATAGTTTATAGCTTTGGATAACTTGTATATTGCTATTAAAGTAGATTTCTCTATTAATGGATGATGCCAGTACTAGTTCTGAGGAAGGGACACAATGTAAGTCCCAGGAATCAGTATCCAAAAGTAGCTCCTCCTCCCCCTCACCATCGCAGTCATCATCTGTGTCACATGCCACTTCATGGCGCCCAAGTCAGCTCGCCTTCGTCCCTTTTTCAAAAGGTTTTCTAGATTCCAAGCCTGAGAGCTTGGGCGTGGTTGTCAGAAGACCTGTAAGTACTTTCTTAAGCTCATCATTCCATTTTTGGGTTTTTGCACGTGTTGAGCCAAATGAGTTTTTTTTTCCAGATCTGCCGTTTCTTTTTGTTTCCACCTTCCATTAGTTATGCCTCACTAAACCTCTTACAATCAAAACAGATGTTATTAATTATACTATTGCTGTTCTGTATTGCCTAGGTTCGCATTTTATAAACCTCTTATTTTATGTCGTTACTACACTAGTATTTTATAAACCTTTTTATGCATTTTTTTCATGCTCGTGCTCTTCATCCCTAAGCTTCCTAAGAAGTGTCCTGCTACGAAGTTTTTACCAAAATGAAGGGGGGAACATTAGTGTGCTACTTTTTGCTTTTCTCTTCCTGGCAGACTGACCTTTAATGAGTTGTTTTACTCAACCACTAATGGTTCCATGGTTATGCAGTTTTTTTGTTCATCAGTTACAAATATTAAAATGAACACAGTATACTTATACCCTTCATATTTAGCATCAAATTTAAAGCAGAAGAACTTGGCAATGTAATGCAATAAAAAGCAATTGTACAAACACATACATAAATGAAGAAATTTACTACTGTTGCTTTAGTCGAAACTACATACTTTGCTTTTGTTGTTGGCAGACGGACGGTTAATGAGTTGTTTTTCTCAACCACTGATGGTTCTTTGGCTATGCAGTTTTTTTGTTCACCAGTTACAGATATTGATACGAACACACTATACTTAGGGCATGTTTGGCACAACTAGCTGAAAAGATACTTTTGTGAGCTTTTTAATAACCGTTAGCTTTTAGTGACTGAAAAGATCTTAAAAAGAAAAGGTGGTAGCTGTTTGATAAAAAGCTGACTGTTTGATTTAGTTCGGTTTGGTATACAAGCTGTTAGGATTAATTAATACTAAAAGTCACTAGCTTTTCTTAGATGCTACTCCCGGTAGCATCTCAAAAAAGATCTTTTAATTTTTGAAAAACTCTTAAATATTGTCATGCCAAACACACAACCAGAAGCTTTTAGGAACTTTATGAACAGTACAAAAGCTAGAAGTCAGGGACTTATGCCCGCCAAACATAGCCTTATACCCTACATATTTTAGCATCAAGTTAAAGGTAGAGGAACTTGCCAATGTAATGCAATAAAAAGCAATTGTACAAAACACATATAGATATAAAGGAATTTACTTCTGATGCTTTAGTCAAAACTACACAGTAGTACAGTACACACTGAAGTGTGAAGGTATGCCACATATTTTGAAGAAGTGGTGTTTACAGGCTGAATTTTTGGTGTGTCCCCTCATTTAACCTCCGTGCACATTACACGCTTGATAGATTCAGGCTCAGGCATACCGTATATCATAATCAGCTCGCAGCTCCTGTTTATCCAATTAAATAACTTATTGACCTACTACATTTGATCGCATATGGACATTAGGCTATGAGCTGACTCTTGGGCCTAATTGCATGCAGACATGCAATATTGTAGAGTTAATATTAAAATACACGATTGTTCTGATGACACTATGGGTTCATTTATACAGTTGGTGGCAAGATTAACCAAGGACATTATTGAGACATACCACATATGCAATCCCCAATTTCAATATTCAGAGGAATTGAATCCAAAGAGATTCTTGACCACCCCTTCAGCAGGAGTGTTGAATGATGGACATGATAATGCAAATTCAGACCTCATTCTGTTTTGCAATCTTGAGTTGACCAATTTAGGCACCCAAAGAAGGTCTGTAATTATGTTTGTTTACTAGTACTTTTTACTGTATATACATGCATAATATAAATCCTGTGTGCCAAGTGCTAATAACAGTGTGTTAAACAGAGATGTGCTCATTACTGAATTATACATTTTTCATTTGTCTTATTGTTTTACATATTCAATAGAAAAACAAACTACTGATTTTTTATTGTATGGACACAGGATTTGTTAACAGCTTTACACTATGAACCTCTATCTATATGCAACTATTTGTTTTGATTTCTTTGTTCCCTCTTTCTCTACGCACCATATAAGTTATCCATGACTCCATGAGAAAAGGAAAACTGATCTTTTTTAAATCTATTAGTGTTATATAGTAAGTGGGGTTTCCTGTTTTTCACTAGGCATTTTTTTTTGGTATATGCACCTAGGAATTCTATCAAGACTATGAGCATCTTTGATTACCTAATACACTATGGAGATAATGACCCAGGAAATGTTTTAGTTCTACAAATGTGTTGTTTATTGGTTTACTTGTAACAAAGTTTTGTCTGTGCCTTCAAAAAATCTTCTGTTAGGTACATTGTCAAAGATAGTCTTGGGCATGGTACCTTTGGACAGGTTGCTAAGTGCTGGGTTGTGGAAACAAATAGTTTTGTTGCTGTTAAAGTCATAAAGAATCAACCAGCGTACTATCAACAAGCACTAGTAGAAGTTTCTATCCTGACAACAGTTAAAAGCTCCCATTCTGATGTTTTTTTTAAACTTGATACAAGTAGCAGTTAAATTAATCTGGATATAGTCATATCATTGCCTTCAACATTTTCTTTTTTTTTGCAGTTGAATAAGAAGTTTGATCCTGAGGATAAACATCACATCGTTCGCATTTATGATTACTTTGTGTATAAAAGACACTTATGCATTGCTTTTGAACTGCTGGATACTAATCTGTAAGTTTCCATTATATTTTTTATAACATATTTGATGGATTTATGTATGTTACTATACTTGCGTTTTCACTGATGATGTTAATACTGATTAATTATCTGAATGTCATTTTTTTCAATCAGGTACGAGCTTATAAAGTTAAATCATTTTAGGGGATTATCATTAAGCATTGTTCAATTGTTTTCAAAGCAGGTAATGATCTCTTTGCTTTTAATGGATATGGATCTGAACAGACAAAGTATTTTAACTGTGGTTTTTTTGTGGTTATTACAATAGATCTTAAATGGATTAGCTCTTATGAAAGATGCCGGTATAATCCATTGTGACCTGAAGCCAGAGAACATTCTCTTGTGCACAAGGTGAGCAGTTGTGCTGCTGAGCTTGATAGGGTGTTATATTTGTCTTTCATCTCAATGTGTAGTATCCACTATCCATACATCATATTGACAGTGTAAAGCCAGCTGAAGTGAAAATAATAGACTTTGGATCAGCATGCATGGAGGACCGGACTGTATACTCCTATATTCAGGTCATGGTTTCTCGTTGGTGATTGATAGTCAATTTTTTTATGCTTAAAGAGTCTTTAGTTGACAATTATTTCACCATATGCAGAGTCGGTACTATCGGTCACCTGAAGTTCTACTTGGATATCAGTATCCTTTAATGTTGTTGAACCACATCATGTCTTCATTCATTAATGCGTTCTGCATGGGGAAAATATGTTTGCACTGTTATTGCATTGTGTTTTATCTAAATTCTACATCTCTTCCAAAAGCTCGTAGCGTTGTTAGCGTATTCTGGCAATATTACGATGATTCAATGTAGTTTGGGTTTTGAAACAAATCTAATCTTTTCTCATGTCTCTTTTAACAGAACATTTTTTCATTTTTTCCTATTTATTTGAGTTGGATTTCCAGTTTATTTAATAATTTATTTTTATGACAAACTTAACTCTTTCTTAGATATACTACTGCTATCGATATGTGGTCATTCGGTTGCATAGTGGCTGAGTTGTTTCTGGGACTTCCATTGTTTCCTGGAGCTTCTGAATTTGATCTTCTGAAGAGGATGGTCAAAATACTAGGGTATGCTGTGTAATGTCTCAAAGGCCCTTACTCTCATTCCTTTAATTTGATGGTGCTTTATGTACCTTAGTAGTAACATTTTACTTTGTGTTCCCCTGTCATATACATATTGGTAATTAGGTATTAATTTTTTTAGATTACTTGTTATTGACTAATTGTAGTTCTTCATAAAACAATAATGTTCTCTTGTGAGGTTACTGCAATATTCAAATGTTTCTCTCATTAAGTTTGTGCTAGAGTTTCAGTTAATATTTGACTTTGCTAATTGAAAACTAATTTTATTAATTCATAAAAGGCAGTTTTTAAGCAAATGCGATGTTTTTTATTTTTATTAAAAAACTAGAGGATAACTGTTGTAGCTTCACTACTAGACTCCGTTTCTGGTTGAATGATATTTGAAATAAGCACCATTTTGGTACTTTCACTTTTCCAATTAAGGTATTGTTCAATTGGGCTGATTTCACATCGTCCTAGATGAGACTTAGCCAGACTTAAAAAGACCAGCCAAGAAGAGACTTGAACATAATATATCTGACTTAGATAGTAGTAAAATGCACATAGTATGAGACGTTATGTGACCAGTTCAGACCAGACCAACCTGACATAAGCAGACCCGTCTAGAGGTCATCCGACCTGAAAATTTCAATCCAAATGGAAAGTTAAGTACTTTTTTAAAAGGAACCATTTTAGTGCTTTAAGTTTTGCGTAAGTGCTAAGAACTCTATAAATGCATTGCGATAATTTTAATCAACTGAAATTTTTTTTGAAGCCATAAAGCACCAAAGTTTGTTTCGGAAATCTGTCTTTTGTGCATATTAATGTCATCCCATACAGTCTCTTCATTTAGTGGACAATGTTCCATTCCTTATAACTAAGGCCATTATTAACTATTAGGCAGAACTTCATAGTCAGAGTATAATTTACTTCTTTGAAACTGACATATTATTATATTTATTCTCTTCATTTTTTTTCTCTTTATTGATCAAGTTAATATTTTTCACCAGTTGTAAAATAGTGATGTAAGCATATTTTCAATGTTACTTTTACTTGAGATGATCACACTGAGGACTTGTTGTCTGTAAATATTATTATTTTGTCATTTGTTGGCCATCACTGTAATGATAATTTGTTGAGGTATTTTTTAGTAATTGGCATTGCTTGCTTTAGTGAAACTTTTTTCTTCTTGTAGGGGTCAACCCCCTGATTATATACTAAAGGATGCTAAAAATACCAGCAAGTTCTTCAAATGTGTTGGGATTGATAACCATGAAGAAAGGGGCCAACATACAATTAATAGTTGTACCAGCATATATCAAGCTTTGACTGAAGAAGAATATGAAGCTGTGAGTATTTTTATTGGATGTATATCTGATCATGTTTTTATTTTTCTTTACTCCTAGTTTGCAGCCATTCCATTTGCTATAAGAATTGAAACCTTTGTTACTGTTGATGAAATTCTGAAATGCATAAAGGAAAAAAAAATTCTCAAAATTTTGATCTGATGACCTTTTAGTGTACCTTCTTAAAGGTTTCAAACTTTGATATAAGTTCCATAGTTTGCACAGTATCAGTACCGATTTGATTATTATTCTATTAGAGGAAACAAAAGACTACATCGATGAAAAGAAGTAATACGGATTACGGGGTGGGTGAGTGTAATTTGCATTGAACCGTATACTTGGGCTACATCCTCATCCACACTATATCCTGCAATTAACGTGTAAATGTTTCTCCTGAAAAATTTAAAATTGTTGTATTGTATGGGTTGAATATAATTATGTATGATCTTTGTTATTAGGTGTTCCCTGACCTCTTCACTGACATGATAATCTTCTGTTTGCATACCAATATTCTCTTCAATAGAAATGTATTGACTTCTTATGCCTAAAATTATTTTATTGCTTACGAAATGTGAGCCATGCTGGCGAAGTGGCAATGGGCATACTTACTACCTGTCTAGCTGTATATGACTAAAAGCTTGTTGCCCCAGCTTATTGGTTCTTGAACGTGTTATTGTATTTTTTCTTCTTACTGAGCACATAATCCCCAAAAAAGATGGATCGAACAAGCATTACATTGGTTAATTGCCCTTTCTCCAGATGAACTTTTTACTTTTAAATATCCAATAAATGCACAAATCCAATACTTCGCCTATAAAATAAGTGATACATATTTTCTAACCTATGGTATAAAATTGACTAATAGGCTTATGTGCCTCTTCCTTCTCGTGGTCATCATGATATTTGGTTTTATAAACTGGATATGATATTATTATTCCCCCACTGTAGGTGGGAGCCTTTGCGGCAATGGGGTAATGATGATGATTATATATGATATTATTATTATTTCCATCTTTCAATGAATTATGACTTTCCTTGCTGCCAATAGTGTTTCTATAACAATTCAAATCGCTGCCAAATGCTTCTTATATAACAAAGCATCATCCCAATTGCTTGTGGATATTTAGTTACCTTTTGGAACCCTGACAGTTCTGCTTATGGTATTTACCTTTTGTGATATTTTCTCCCCTCTCTTTGGGCCTTTTGATTCAGAGAGAGCTGAAAAAGCCTGTAACAGGGAAGGAGTATTTCAATCATATGAACCTTGAAGCAATTGTGAGAAAATATCCTTATAAGAAGAATCTACAAGAGGATGATATTGTTAGAGGTTAGTATTTGGATTCTTTGAGTAATTGTGAACACATCTTTGGGGTTTTTCTGCTGAATATGATTTGTGAGGTTTTATACCATGTGCTGACATTCTACTGTATCTTGAAATTGTTATAGAGAATCAAATACGGTTAGCACTGATTGATTTCTTGAGGGGACTTGTTGAGTTTGATCCGGCAAAACGGTGGTCGCCTTTGCAGGTCTCCTATTTTCCACATGTGAACAGTACCTTACAAACTTGTTTACCCTAAATGGCATCTTTCATAATCACTTTATTATTATGGAGCTACGATGCTGAGAGTAATTGAATTCTGAAATATTAAACCTCCATAGTGCCCAGCTTCTCCCCATTGCACCCACAACAAACACACACAACCTATCCAGGCTTGCGTAATTGGTATATGGTGTCTGTGATTACCAAAGCAATGATGCTGGAGACATCTGTGATACATATTTCATACTCAATTTTATACCATGTTATGAAAGTTATGTAACATTTTCTTAGAGATTTTATATCTCATGATTCTCGTCATTAGACTAGTCCATATTTGCTTAAGAATGTGCATGTTTTTATACAGCATCGGACTATAGCTCACTACTTCTACATGGTCCCAGACTCCCTTTTACACTAAAATGTGATACTCTCGAATACATGTATTTTGATATATGAATAGGACTAAAGTCTCTTTGAAACCTCTCCTTTCTATCTTATCCATAACAAAGGTGCCCGGATTATGTTCCATCTTCTAACTTGTTCTTCTACCAGCTCATTTCATATTATAACTTGTCTTGTTTAATGTGTGGGTGGAGTAGGGGATATAGATATAGATAATGCCCATGTAATTACATATTGAACATCGATACACGTGCCTTCCTTTTGATGAAAAGGATATAGGAGTCTGCTTACCTGAATGGTAATTGAAGTGGAGGATGCGTGAAAGCTCTGTTTTGGGCAATGAGTTCACTTGGAACTTTTGTTCTCCCTGGGTTGGCAGGACATAATAATTTGTTGTTTTCCTTCATGGCAAATCTTGGTGCACTCTTTACTCAGTCAAGACTCAATATCTCCAATACTGTATAATTAAATTGGCTTTAGAAAATCCAAACTTTATTTTTGTCACCAATGATACTCTTAAAGAACTTATTGGACCTGCATATGTTAATTGTATCTTTATTTTTGGTAAAAATATTCTCTTTGAGCAACTCTTTTGGTGCAGATGTTGTACTTTTAGTGTTGTGTGGTTGTCTGTAGGTGATTCTGCAAGCACTCACACCGACAAATATATAAGTATACATTTAAAATTAGGGTGATGATTTTGAATGTGTAGAATGTTGTGCAATCTGCTACCTTCTCATGTATGATTTCTGATCTTGTTTGTGGTCACTTTTTGTGCTTCAGTGTTTCCTTGGCATGAACTTCATGTTCCACTAGTGACTGGAGACAAAACTATCTTATGAAACTGCTGTAGCTTTTCTTTATTAGTGTTATTGGTTTCATATTTGTAAGTTCCTTTGGTGCAGGCTTCAAAACATCCTTTTGTAACTGGGGAGCCTTTTACGCATCCTTACCAACCTGCACCAGAAACCCCTAGGATGGTGAGTGGGTGATTTTTTGTGCACTTTGAATGTTTCCATCTTAAAGAGGGATTGAGGGGATGATTTTAGTAGACTTCTTTTTGCTCATTTTCTTCATCCGTTTGCATGTTTCTTTCCGTAGTTGCCACAGGACTTGAACGCATTGCCTTTTTGGAAGAGAATTTACATTTCAAATGCAATTTGAACATGTATTCTTAGGGGAAAAGAAATTATTGTAATTTAGCATGATATTATCCTGGAATCATATTTTTCATTGGTTGGGCTTTTTATAGTGTTTACTGCTTCCCATTATAGCTGGGTCATTCCATTTCAAAAAATGTTCTCTTTAAGATGGGTGTAACTTTGGCATTATAGTTAAGTCATTGCATATCCTATATGCGATCAGCGTTGTGCATTGCAGTGCTAATGTATGAGCGTGGTATGTTTTCCTCTACCATTTATATTTTATTATTCACCTTAACTAAGCCAATAATTAATGCCTGGTTGTTTTTGTTGCTCCTTTATGTGATATGTCAATTCATGTTGAATGTTGTTGTTGCTGTTAACTAAGTCAAAATAACCCTAGAAGTTGAGAGTTGGTCACTAACTAGTTCTTTACACGCACTTGGAGGGGAAGCTTCAAGTTGTTAGGGGTGCCCACACTAGAGAATTATATTGTTTTGTTTATATAACTGGGTTATAATGTATATACTCATCTGTTAGATAAGAAATTGAAACTGATGTAAAGCAACCCCTATTTACAAGCAATATTTTAAACGTTATTGTTTTTTCATAAGAATAATAATATTGTGACGATCTTTTTGGCCATACTTGTCACGGCGGTAAGTCGAGTCGTGGCGCCAGCCGACTGCCATATCGCCTAGGCGATAAGGCGCCCGCCTAGGCGACAATTAGGCGACATGTCATGTCACATGCAATATTTAAATATACATATATATTAATATAATATAAAATGATATCTTACATGATCCGTATTAAATTAAAAATGTATATGAACCAACATATAACTAATATAGAATTAAATAATATATTGCAGATTAAATTAAATTAATGTATATACAACAATAAATAACTTATATTGTTATATAGAACGGATGTTCAATAGTCAATACAAAGTACAAATTTTCACAAAAGAAAATCAAGGTAAAGTGAACTCCAGTTGTCTCCAGCTGTCTCCAGTTATGCTTGTACAAGGAATAAAAGCAAGAATAACAAAAGAAAGAGTAGCTAAACAGTAAAACTGAGTACAGGCTGTACAGCGGCTACTTCAGTTTGAATAGTCCGCAAGTCTCAGAAACCTGGAACGGGCGAGAGAACTGGAGACGGGGGTTGGAGTAGTGGCGTTTTTACGACAGCTACCTGAGGCGGCGATCTACGTGAGCGACCTGGCCGACGGGATGAACAGTTGCGGGCCAAGATCTCTGTCAGACCTGGGTCGGGTCGAAAAAAACAAACTCTGGGCGTCGCCACGACGACGTGCAGACGCCTAATCGACGCCAAGTTGCGCCTTGGCAGCTTCAGGCGAGTCGAGCAAGCATGGCGCCACTCATCCACCGCCAGGACGCCTAGTCGGCGCCTAGGCGACGCCTAGTCGACGCCGTAACAACTATGTTTTTGGCGCTTAGATTTAGAAATTGTAGTACTTGACTTGTTTATTATTCTGATCCTTATTTGTTTTTCTCCCAAAAAATACACATTAACTGTATTTATATTTAATTGCAGTTTCCCTGTTTATTGCTATTTTTTATTTTTATGTGCATGTCTGTGTAATTGTGTGTAATATGGAGTGGTAAATATTATTCTTAATTTCCTCCATAGAACAATATGTCTTTATCCAAAGGCACAGAAAAGGAAACTGGACAACATTATAAGATTTGAAATTCACTGAAGCTGTAGAGTTTGGTTATTTACACTTTTGGGCAGTATTAATGATTTGTATAGGCTGTCCTTGCTCACTACTCTAGCTTGGCAGATTAAGAGGAGTAATAGAAAAAAACTCACCAACTTTTTTGTTCCCTTATTTCCAGTATGTTTCTCAAAATGTAAAGGTGGATCATCACCCGGCTGGAGGTCATTGGTTTGCTGCAGGCCTCTCTCCTAATGTAAGCAAGCTACTTTTCAAGTATGAATTTGTATTTGTTTTTTTGTTGGATTGATGTTGTTATCATAAATATATATGTATATATACATAATATATATATATACATATATATATATATATATTATATAGAGAGAAAAGTTCATGTCCGCCCTTCATGACCGGAATCGCCGTCCGGACGGCGGTGTTTGGCCGCCTTCCCGTTGGAATTTTTTGATGAATTTTTTATGGCATGTTCTCCATCAAGTCTAGTTTATCCACAAAAAATTTCAGCTAAAAATTCAATCCGGAAGGCCGTCAAATGATTTTTGGAAGATAACTGCGTTTTATATGTATATATTGGGCGCAGTTATCTTCTAAAAATCATTTGACGACCTTCCCGATTGAGTTTTTAGCTGAATTTTTTTTGTGGATAAACTAGACTTGATGAAGAACATGCCATAAAATTTTTATTAAAAATTCTTCCGGGAAGGGCCCCAAAAGCCGCCATCCGGACGGCGGTTCCGGTCAGGAATTCCTTACCGGAAGAGTACTCTCTATATATGTGCATATATATGTTTATAAATCATTTATTTTTTCAATTATTTTTTTGGGGTGGGGATGCTTCATTGGACATTTAACTTAATGTCTTGATGCACACCTAGGAAGTGCTTTATCTCATCAATTTCTATTACTTAACAATGCAGATTTCTGGCAGGAACCGAGTTGCAGTTCACAACAGTCAACCTTATCATGTAGCTGCATATACACATATAGGCAGTTATGGTAGTTTAGGAAGCCATGGCAGTTTCAATGATTGTGGTGGGCTTGGAAGCAGCTATGGAAGCTATGGTGATACTAATAATAATTTGCAAGCATATTATTCCCCAGCAGGACCGTCCGGGATGCATCTTTGTGCTCAGAATGGTTCATCAATTCTTGGAAGCAGTCCAGACGCAAGGAGATTTATGCATCTTCCCCATGGAAATACGCTTGGTGTCAGTCCAGGAAACCTGGTTCCTATGTCTCTTGGAGTTAGTCCCTCACAATTTACTCCTCCCAGTATGTATAGCCAAATGCCAGTCGGATCTCCTGGGCAGTATGGTCCCACTTCGCCTGCAAGGGGAAGCAGTCACGGGTCACCCTTAGGGAAAATGGCGGCAGGTAACCAGTACAACAGAAGAAAAGGATGGGGTCATCATGGAAGTTTGCAATCTCAAGAGACCCAATCATCCCCGCACTGGCAAGGGCAGGCTATAGATAACACTAACTCAAGCCTTCCCAACTCTCCTATTTCTGGAGGTTCTTTGTTGCATCTACAATCCAACTCAAACTCCACAGCCTGGAGACAGCAAGGAGGAAGTGCTGCACCTGTTGGTAACTCTGCTGCTCAAAACATTATGGGTACGACAAGACATGCTTCTCACACACAATTTGTGCACCCACAAGGGACTAGACACGAAAAATCTGAAGCTAGTAATTCATTACCCGATCCTGGAGACTGGGACCCAAACTACAGGTATAAGAAGTTTGGGTTCTTAATTATGTGAGAATAATATTATGCTCTACAACTTTGTTCATTCATGCTCGCAAACTCATGGGAGCAATGCGTTGTAGTAACTTACAATAGTGTTTAGGCAATCAACATTTTATGCGCATATTCATCAGTTTGGTGTAAACATTTTAGCAGCTAACCTTCACCTTAGAGTAGGTGTCATGATACACTTTATTTGAGTTGTTGTTGGGTGTCAAGTAAGCGCTCTTAGCTCATAACGTTTAGGTAGAACCATATCTCTGCATGGTGGTTTTGATACTAACATAAAAAATAGGGCAGCCCGGTGCACATTGGCGTCCCCGCAAGGCGAGGGTTTAGGGAAGGTCCATCACAAGGGTATCTATACTAATATAAAAAGGGAAACCACAAACATACTTTACGGGTACTTTTAGTAACCTCCTCCACAGTTATTTTATATGCGGTAGACAGTGGTGCATGAAACGAAGCATCGGTTTCAAATCGGTGCCACGTTGCTCATCTATAAATTATCTATAAATTACATATACACATTTTGGAAACAAGTGTTCGGTGGCAGTTAGAGTAAGGGTATCAATTGTAGTTCTTTACACAATTACACGTCCTGAAATACACGAGAGCAAGGTAATCAATATTATAGATTATATTCTTTTCTAATGTAGGAAATTCACATAGACGTAGTCACGTAGTTATATCATTTAAAATTTATAATTATAAAAACATATATATGCCTTAATTACTTCTAAGTATCCAAAAATTACAATCCATGATGAAAGCAATTAACAATTGGGTCGTATCTGGATAATTTAAGCATCACATAATTTTTGTATAAAAAATGTTAGGATTTGACTCTTTGAGGCAATTGAGATTCAATAAACATGGAGTGCTGAAAAATGAAAACGTGATTGCATGGAGGAAAATGGTGAATCGCAGACACCAGAGCCTTGAGGGGTATTGTCAATCATAACCGTATAAATTAGAAAGAATAAGTAAAGTCATGGACTTCGTCGTCCTATTAAGCATAAGTTGATACGAAGTGTGATCTCAACTCTCAAGCCCAATATGGAATACATATATACAGTGGCGGAGCCAGGGCACTTGACCGGACTGGGCCGGTACAAAGTTTTCTTTCGGAAAATTTTTTACACGAATATTTTTACACTAAAAATATTGACATTTTTTAAATTTGGAGTGGACCGGGGTCGGGGGCCCCCTAGCTTCGCCCCTACGTATGTAGCCTGGCCGGACAGGAATAAATCTATTTCATGACAATGTTTAAGTTCAAATAGATACAAAAAGCATATATTTCTTTATATTATATTAGTATGTCGTGCATCGCACGGGTACAATTCTAGTATAGTGAACAAGCTTTCCCTTTTCATTTTTGACAAGAGGCCGCTCCCAAGACTTGAACAGTTGAACCTGTGGCATTTCGGTTCCATGATAACACCATAACCGGTGCATCAAGGCTCCCCTTCTGATTTTGATGGTAACATGATACAATAAATTGCAAAAGCCCACTAATAGAACAAGGCACCTACCTATAAGTGTTTAAATACATCATTCTTAATTTTTGAAAATTTGATGATTTTTGGCTCTGCTCTTCAAGTACCTTGAGATGACATAGTGCATACTTATATTCAACATCATTTGACATTTAAATGTTGAGTGTTACTTATAGAGTCGTAATAATTGTGATTAACATTACTCACAAGTGTTTCAACAATTCTTAGCATGGTGGGCACAGGTCCATGGTATTATGTGGTTTGCTTCGTTTTTTTTAATTTTCTTATTAAGATGCTTAAAATGTATTGACATTCAAATATTCTCCAACTGCTAACTTTAAGGGGTTTTGACATAATAGTAATACTGAAGGAAAAGCTACAGACAAATATATGACTAGTTTTAAAAAATCCCTAAAAAGTTGCTAAGATGACATTATACCCTTTAAGCTAGTGTGACTCTGGTGCCCAGTTATCTCCGGTGCCTTAGTGATCAATCGCCATCAGTGACCCACTGACCCCCACTAACAGTGACCCACCACCACCACTGACCACGACACCCCAATAACACTGCTTCTCCAATGACTTGGTGCCGCTGGTGACCGATTCACTGACACCTCCAGTGACACAAGTGCTGCCTGGCTAGTGACACCACTGCCCCTCCATTGTCAGTGCCTCCTTAACCTTCCATTGACCGCGCTGCCATATTGCCCTACTCAGTGACCACCCACATTGACCCTGCCACCACAGTGACCCCACCCATAGTGATACCACCATCACACTGCGCCCATCCCAGTGGCCACTTGTTAATTTCACAGCCTCCAATCAAAGATCCCGGCAACCACATCCTCTCCTGCTATCCCCACCCACCCTCATTGCTACACCAACGACATCATACCTAGACATCTTTCCCTGGAACTGCCGCTCCTGTAACCCTAGTCATCGTACCACCACTGTCATTAGTGTGAAACCTTAGGCTTCGCCGGAGATACACCTTGTTGGACACACACTCTTGTTCGCCGATTTGAAATAGAGAAGAAAGGAACACATCAGATACGAGGTCTGATGAAGGTTGACTGTGATTTTATGGTGGAGGCGACTCACGGTGCAGAGGCAATGGGTGATGCGGAGGTGGTGGATGATGCGCAGAGGCGGCGACGATGCAAATGCGGAGGTGATGGTCGGTGCAAAGGCGGGGGTGATGTGAAGACGATTGATGATGCGGAGGCGATAGTCGATGAACAAAGGGGACAGTGATGTAGAGTCGGAGGCGATGGTTGATGCAGAGGCAATGGGCTATGCAAAGCTGGGGGCGGTGGGCCATTGCGGAGGAAATTGTCATTCGCAGGGGCTGGATGGTGTCTGTTGAAAATGTATATGAAGATTAGGGTTTGAATATTTATTTCAAGAATATTGGAGGCAATTTACTTTTGAACTCCAAAGTAATACAAGCTCCCTAGGTAATATTTCTGCCATTTTTCTAATTCTGAAGTCCCATCAAAACCAATCTTGTAGTGGAACATGACTGCCAATTATCTCAACTCTTTACCGTCTCACTCATATACGGAGTATTTTTCAAAACCAATCTTGTAGTGGAACATGACTATACCAATTATCTCAAAACCATATTGATTATCAAAACCAATCTTGTAGTGGAACATGACTATACCAATTATCTCAACTCTTTACCGTCTCACTCATATATTTTTCATGCAAGTGGTGGTTTCAGATTTCATCTCATTATTCATTTCTACATTGTAAGAAGGTTGCGCCAGGAAGGATCCAGTGTAGAATTTTGCTACTGTATTTATTTCATGGACGTGTAGTTTTTATGAAAAGTCTAAGAGTGTAGAAGACTTAAAGAGAAGTCTTGGTAGGATGAAATGACTTGGATTGAAGGAGTAATGAGGGAAATGAAAGCTCTGGGGCTTAAACCGTATGGTGCAAGACAGAAAAGACGGAATAAGAGAATTCCGTTGAATTGGGACTACAGTTTGGTTGTTGATGTTGTTAATCTTGTAATGCTAACTGAACTAAGTGGCAGTATTATTATTATGCTACTGACCCTAAGTATTTGAGATTGAAGGTGCTGGTGATGATGTTTAACTTGAAAGTCTGAATATGAAATCTTATTTTGCTTGATTTGGCCTTTTTTGGAAGGCCCATAAAGCTGACCACATATGATTTGCATTTTGCACGATGTTTTGATAAAGTGGCACTGATTTGAATTGTAGCTTTGCATTTTAGCTAATTTGATCAAAATTAATTTTTTCCTTTTGGTGGTGATATCATGTATCGATTCATGTTAGCCGACCCCAATATCTTTTGGGACTAAGGCTTGGATGTTGTTGTTGTTGTTGTTGATCAAAATTAATTTTTGAGAAGAAAATAGCAGACAAATAAAACAATCTACGATAGTATTTCAGTAGAACACTGTAGCTGGTTTTCCCAGGTATCCTTGTGCATTTATAATTTATATAACTTTGTCTTTTTCACAACTTCAGTGAAGAGTTACTTTTGCAAGAGGATGGCCCAGATATGAGCAACATGACTACTGATTTTGTCAAGGCAATGCATCTAGGTCAGTCTTTTATCTCCAAGGAACCGATGGCTGGAGCAAGAAGACCCAGTTTGGCGCAAAGGTATGCAATTGTGCTTGGATGGAAAAAACTATTCAATGTTAACTTTTTAGGTGGTGGATTTTCTATTTATGGAGAATGTTGAAAGTAATTGATCCAGAAATCACTTCCTATTAGTTTCAGAGCCCGTTTGGTAAAATTAAAGTCGGTTGTGATGAAGTTATGGTTGAATTGGATGAATATGCTAAACTATAATATATTTACAATATTCTTTTTAATATGCTGACAAAAAAATTGTATGGATAAAGAAAATAAAATGCCCCCCTTCAGCCGATTTAGCCAAAAAAAAGTACATCCAAGATCACTATCTCTCATGATTAACCAAATCAGATTGTGAGATCAAGAAAACAGTGTGGTACAAAATTCTGACTGATAAGGCGGATAAGCCAAAAAATAAGGTTTCCAAACAGGAATTCAATGTTTTTCGGTATAGCAAAATTGAAATTTCAAGTTTTAATTTCTTTTTATTTCTTTCTTGTTTTGCCACCAGAACAAATGGACCTATTCAAACAGTGTTCCATGGAGATGTGGGAATACATCCTTCAGTACAAGATCTGCATGGTGGTGGGGGGTTTGCTCACACCATGGCAAACCCAGTCTATTTTATGCCACATCTTGCACAAAATTCCCCAAGTCGTTTCTCACAGCCGCCTGCTCATCGGTATAGCCAAGGGCGGTTGGCAGCTGCTCGTGGCCATGATTACCATAATAAGGCGCATGTCCCTCATTCCAGTATTAGCTCTGAGGATAATTATCCTTCTGAAACCACCAATGGAGCATCATGGGGTAATAACATGAATATTCTGTTCCATTTCATGCCTTTAGGTTTGGGACATGAAAATTCATGAGATGGTAACTAATGTTTGAACAAATGTGCCCTGTTCTCTTGTAGGGCGTAGAGGAAACTTCTCTGCTTCAAACATTCCACCAACCTCACGCACAAGAAAAGATTATGGAAGAATGGTCTGAGTCTCTAAGTTGAGCTTTGTCTCCAGCTATAATCGGACTCTATTAGTAGGAACGGGCAAGACCACTTTTAACTATGGCTTCACCTGCCCTCATTTATGTATCAAAAACCAAACAATCGCTTGCCCCACATTTGCAAGTTTATTTAAATGTGTAATTCGAGATCCTCCCTTTTTATCTCATGTTCCTCACATGTTTGGTCTCTTGCTGGTAATGATCGAGTATACAAGGGTGGCAATGGCGTTTCCTTCAAAGTTTTATTTATTGGGAACTATTTGATCAGGCCTTGATGGTCTATCTTACTGTGCTGGTGTGGATGAAGCTAGGCTGGCGATGGCTGATGAATGAAGAAGACTCCTTCAAATGGAGTTCGGTGTGGTCTTTGATCATTTTCCAACATGCTTGGCCAATATCTCTGTAAAACTAAAATGCAGGTTTGTGGGCCTGTATTATGCAGTATTCTTTCTAATTTAGTCCTGGCGTCCTGCTCTTGTTTTTTTTTGTTATTTTATTTTATCATAAAAATTATATATATTTCAATAGGTCAGTGTGAAGACAGTGATTGATTTCTGTTTAATGAAGCCATGAAGGGGTTGTGAAGGGGAGTTTGTTGTCTTGGTAGAAAGTTCATATGTTTCTGCTCTAAGTGTATGAGGATGTACAATGGCGTATTATAATTTGTTAATATAAAGAGATTATTAAAATTAGAAGTTAAAATTTTGTTTTAAAAAATTGGTTGATATAAATATTATTAAAATTGCAAGTTAAAGTTTTTATTTAAATGTTCATTGAAATAAATACATACGCCTGTTACTAATTTACACATGGCTGTAGCATGGTTACTTTGGGAGCATGTTGGGATTTGGGAAGGGCTGATTTGGGATTGAAATTGAAGTTGGAATACACTAACATAGCGCGTTGGGTAACTTGACTAACTTCTAACTTCACACTAATATTGAAATTCTAATGATTAAATTCTGACTTAACTTTTTCATATTTTTTCATATTTTTTGTTAAATTATGAAAAATGTATATTTAAAATATTACTTCCATCTCTTTAGGATTGAGACATGCGGAAGTGCGTTATTCTCTGTTAGAATAAAACACATTTTAAGGATTTTTTTTTCTTTTGACTTCTTGAAATGTTTAATTTTGCTGTAGGATAATGTTTTGATATTGAATGACACTGTTTAATACTTTGTTGTCATTAGATTCATTAATAATTAAAAGTAGTAGAGTGAGGTGATAGAAATTTGTTTACCACATAAGATTATAAGAAAAGAGACTTTGTTTAGGAACATCCATTGGAAGAAAGTGAGAACTTCTTTAAGAGACTAAAATACATAAAAACTATATATCAAAATACCTAAACAGCTAAACTATATCCCGCCAGTAGCACATTTTTTGGAACCTGCACTTCTGCCTCACCATCAACCAAACAGCTCCATTCTTTTGTCAACATCCTGCTTCTTCTCTCATGCCCATCCAATTCTAGATGTGTGCTCAGATTACTGCCATTGTCCTTCATCTGGCCTGACCCCCTTCGAAATCTGCTTGTTGCCATCTTTGACTCCCAATAGCCTTGCCCCTGCCATCCCTAAGACCACAGCCCCCAGGACCCGACAATCCCTCCTGGATTGCCCATCGCCGACGCAGGTAGAGCCGCTGGCCCAGGCAGAGCCGTCGACAAGCCACTCACCCACACCGCCAAGGCCAAAATATCCACTGCCAACCCCGTAGAATAAGCCATCCTTCTGTGCGTTCCACAACCTCCATCAATCCCAATCCAAGGCGTCGACATCCACAATGAAATTGACACAGAAAATCGCTCAATCTCCTTACCAATCAAGCAGCAAACCTCTTAAAACGCTTTCCTGGGACACGGCGGCGCCGATCCCCCGACCTTGCCCTAGCCGAAGTAGCTAGGCCCGTCCGCTTACTACGTCTACGTATATAATTAGACTACCACAATTGAAAACATTTATTTCCGAGCGCTATAATAGTTTGAAAACCGAAGATTGGTGTAGAACATTAATTATATAAAGAGAAAAGGGGCAAATAAGGCCACGTACTAAGCAAAAAAGGTCAAATAGGGCCTTATTTAATAGGATCTGTCCGGCCGTCGCCATTTGGGGTGGTTCCCGGTGGAATTTTTTAATGAAAGTTTTTGAGCATCTTATTCAGTAAGTCTAGTTTACTCATACCAAATTTTACCTAAAACTTCAATCGAGAAAGCATTCAAATGAATTCTTGAAGATAACTGCCCAGTTAAAAGCGCAAGTATCTTCAATAATTAATTTGAATGCCTTCCCGATTGAATTGTTACCTGAAATTTGGTATGAGTAAACTAGACTTAATGAATAAGATGTTCAAAAAATTTTATTAAAAAATCCCACCTAGAACCACCCCAAATGACGAAGGCCGGACAGAGCCTCATAAATAAGGCCTTATTTGACATTTTTTTGTTAGTACGTGGCCTTATTTGCCCCTTTTCCCTTTGCAAAATGTGCATTATCGCAACTATAAATGTGCAACTTCATGAATCGGAATATGCACCATTCACATTTCTCAAGGTAAGAACTTTTCTCACGGGAATCAAAGTATATATAAATGTGTGTGTGGCGTTGGTTTAAATGAAAAAAGTGCTTAAGATGAGAAATGTTAAGAGCTTGTTTACTAACAAAGATATTTTATAGTTTTTGAGATAAATGAAAACTGGAAAAGAAAAATAGAAAACGTGTTTACCGAAAAAAATTGCTCGAAAACTGGAGAAAGGAACACGAGAAATTACGTTTACAAAATCATTTTCCAAAACCAACAATCTGAGATATGTGTCTGTTTTCCTAAATCCTAAATGAATCGAAAAATTAAGTTTCACTAGTTTTTCAAATTTGAAATACATGGATTTTGCAGTGCTACCGCAGTGAGTTTGCACTTACACCTAGTGGTGGATTTAGTCCTGCTATGATTTCAATTTTAGTCCAGTCAATGATCCGGTGGTCCCTTTTTTTGTCCGATCAATGACCCAGTGGTTCAGTCCGGTCAATGATCTCAGTGTCCAGCGGTCCCTATCTAGTCCGGTCAATGACCCAGCAGTACATGTCCGGTCTGGTCGACGGTCGAGCAGTCCTGATCCGGTCTGGTCGATAACCCGGGGGTCCTTGTCTGATCAAGCAGACAACAGAGCGGTCCTGGTACGGTCCATGTTCGATTTGGTTGACAGACTGGCGGTTCGATCCCCATTTTTTAAATCATTGTTCAAAGTGAACAGTTTCAATAGAACTGTTGGGTTGCCAACCAATAGGAAAAGGAGAAGTAGATTGAAACATTTTCAAAACTGGAGTACATAGATCTGGCAACTTTGACTCCATGATAACTAGATGGCTTAATGCCCATGACGATTTCCAAAACCTTCAATGTCAGGTAGCGATACATTTTGGAAACGTAGAAAGACGTACCTCTATATGTACCTCTTTGATTTTTTTGAGGCTATTGATTATGTTAATAGGGAGATTAGTAGTACCAAACCTTTTGTCACTAAAGACAACATTACTCGAACTGTTTGTTGGAACAAACCCCCCACTGGTTTTATTAAAGTGAATATTGCTATTATTACTGGTGAGGATGGGGACTGTACCTCGGCTATACTATCAGGAATAACCAGGGACACATTATCAATCATCACGCTATCTCCCATTCCTATTTGGATATCACTTCAAATATTTGTGTTATTTTGATAAATTTTAAGGACTTCTTCCCGGAGAATAACTACACTAAGGTTATTACTGAATGCGACAAAGTACATGTTAAACAAATTCTTAAAGGGGAGAAGCGACCAGGATGGAAATCTCTCACCAATTACCTAAGGTTTAAAGAGACATTAGAAGACAACAACCTTAACTTCTGCTATGCCCAAAAAACTTGTAATAAAGCTACATACTTTGTAGCTCTAAACTTTAATTATTTTGACATCAATCATGTCATTTTTCAGTAAGTTTCTAGGTATTGTGAAATTTGATGCTATTAGCTATCTGTACGCCGTCTAATGCGGTAGGTTTCGGTCTAATCCCCCTACCATGTATTTTATCTCTTATTCAATAAATAGGTAAGGTGTTTCCTGGCCCTTACCCCACCTTAAAGTGGATTAACACCGGTTTGAAAAAAAATAATCAAACAAGCCGTTGGGATCAGCCGATTTCGGTCACAATTTTCCTATACCCGAGATCGGATAACCTACTTGGGTTGTACTAGGTCTGGTTCAGAACTAGGACCATTTTTTGGTCTTCTGGCTGGTCCTAGAACCGGGGTGAAAAAATTTGATGAACATGTTTTCAGATTTAAAAATGAAAAACTGGAAAATGAAAACAAAAAATTGAAGATAGAAAAACTGGAAAAATAAAACTGAAAATTGGAGAACGAAAAACAAAAAAGAAAATGAAAAAAATGTCCCTGTTAGTAAACAAACCATAATATTTTTACTTTTATTTCATTACACTACACTTTTAATCCAATTAATGTACTTTTTTTTACTGTGACATAAATGTTCAAAATTTATAGAATTGCTACCACATTATTAGCACTTTTAGAATCATTCCTTGCACAAAAAATCATTGTCATTTTCATAGCAAAAAATCCTTTTATTTTATCAAAAATCTATTTATTCAGGTTTTGGATAAAATAAAAAGATTCTTTTCTATAAAAATCGAGACTCAATCTTGTGCATTTTATTTGAGATCTAATGACTCAAAATAGGTAAATAATGGACTACATTTGTTCAAACATGCAAGGCCAATTTAAAAATTAAACTAAAATTTTCAAAAGTGCAACAAAAACATCTAAGTATACCATTCTCTTACAAAAACATCTAACAATACCCTTCTCTTACAAATATTTCCCAAAGGTAGACATTTAACTTTTAGCCTTTTAATAGACAAATATTTCCCAAAGCTCTTATAAGTACACATGAAAACTTTGTTGTGTTGAGTGTAATTTTACCCATTATTCATAACTGAGTCTACTTTAATTTTGCCCAAAAAGCAATCACTTTAAATTTCATTTAAATAATTTATTCGGATTCCCATAAATTCTCCCCTTTTTACACATATTTTAACTAAACAATTTAGTTAATTTAGTTAATTTTAACTAAATTCTCCCCTTTTTACACATATTCTACTATTGTACGTGATTAAGTTTTGGTTAGACGATCAAAAAAAAGTTTTGGTTAGTTTTTTTAGAAAAATTTTGGTTAATTTATAAGAAGTGGAGGAAACATGGAGCATTATACTAGTAATTAATAATTATTTCTAGTAAATTAGGACTAATAAAGTAATTTTCCCAAGAATAGAAAAGAGAGTAAACAGTGAGAAACGCAGTGCCATGTCCGCTGACCACCGTTGAGGTCCGTCCGGGTCGCATTACACACGATACACGGCCGCCGCAGTGGACATTGAGAGGTAAAGCTTTGGATGCGACGAAAAACTCGGCGCAGCAGAAATGGAGGAAGCCAAAGCTATAGCTCAGCAGCATCTCGTGCAACAGATCCAACGACAGAAACAGCAGCAAGATGCCATGGCTCGCTTCCCCTCCAACATCGACGCCCATCTTCGTCCCCAGCCCTTCCTCCACCGTCCGCAATCTCAGCCTCAAATTCAACCTCCTAATCCCAATCAACAAAACCCTAACCCTAATCCCGCTCTCCAGATCCCTATTCAGCAAAACCCCAGCGCCAGCCCTTCGCAGCAGCAGCAGCAACCGCAGAAGGTTAACCGGCCGGCACTCTCTTCGAATCCGGCGG